GTGGTATGCCCATCTCATAACCACATGCAACGCTCTGCCAGGAAAAAATGCCCAGTGCTGCTCAGCACCTTGTTAAGTACAGTGGTGATTGCTCTGGGTTTGAGTGCAGTCCATGTCATAGTGGGTATCCAACTGAGCTCATATCAACCTCCTTGAGCAATAATGAAAGATCACTGGTGCGACATGTATGATGCTATCTGTAGTTTTTAAAATTAAAAAATAACCCTCCATTAATTTCACACAACCCTCCCCCCCACAATTCTATAAATAATTCCTTAGCACAGTTGGGATATAACTACACTGTAATTTTTAAAAATGTAGAACAAATTTGAATTGGAGAAAACCATTTTCTTTTACAACCAGGAAGTGTATTTTATACTTCCTTGTGATCAGGAAAACATGAATGTAGGGTGGCAAGATTTAGCATTAAAACACACACACACACACAAACTAGATGCCGCAGTTTAATTTGAACTTCAGATAAATACCAAATAATTTTTTGGTATGTCTCACTGTCACTCTGCAGGACAGATAATCGCTTGTCTCTTGGGGGCCAGCCTGATGTTTTCTTAAAATAGGACACCTCATTTTATATTTCTTTTTGTTAGAGGTGTCAGCAATGTTCCTCTTCAATAATCTACTGTAATGCTGAAAACCAAAGTTAGATTTGGTGGGTTCTGGAATGGTCTCCTGGTGAATTTCCTCTTTACTCTATTTCTGGTGATATCAAGGAACAGCTACCTGTGATGCTTGCTGATGTCAGAATTAGGGTGGGGCACAGCCAAAGTCTTAAGAGTTGGAAGTATACAAAACTACTGGACTATTAGTGAAAATATTAACACTACCTTGGATTTAGAGCACTTTCCCTTGGGAGATGTACTGAATAAATACTTCCACTGTCTTCACTTGTTCAAGGTGGGCTGAAGAAAGAAGTATAGTTCTTTACACCAGAGTTAATTGTTCAGGCCTTCTCTGTTGCATAACTTTGAGTGCAAGAAAGATTTCTTGAATTCTTACTAACCTAGAGCATTAGAGAGAAGATCAATGACACATCCTAGGAGTTTATGATCTTAATTTAGGTTTAACTGTGATCTTGGGGTTTGTCTTTGCAAAGTATGTCTCACTGGGATGCATGGTATAGGAATTTCTTAGTTCTAGAAGAAACAATTCCTCTCGGCATTTCTAGGGTAAAATATACCCTCCTCTCTGACTCCCCTTCCATATATACAAACAGGGTGATTTTATTCTGCTGGGTTTTTCCATATTTAATGCAGCTAATGAAACACTCAACTTCTCTTGACCAATGGCAAGAGAAATTAAATTCATTTGATGTTTACTACCTTAAAGGGGATTCAACATTTTAACACTAAGAAACTCTTTAGTTCTTTCCTTAGATCTTTTAAGTGATGACACTGAACCCGTTAATTAGTATACCACTAATATCTACCACTCCTACTAATGTTTAAGTTTGCATAGAGGTAAAGAAGTCTCCACTACCAGGGATTTGTTGTTCAGTTCAGTCGCTCAGTCATGTCTGACTCTTTGCGACCCCATGAACAGCAGCACGCCAGGCCTCCCTGTCCATCACCAACTCCCGGAGTCCACCCAAACCCATGTCCATCGAGTCGGTGATGCCATCCAACCATTTCCTCTGTCATCCCCTTCTCCTCTTGCCTTCAATCTTTCCCAGCATCAGGGTCTTTTCCAATGAGTCGGTTCTTCGCATCAGGTGGCCAAAGTATTGGAGTTTCAGTTTCAGCATCAGTACTTCCAATGAATATTCAGGACTGATTTCCTTTAGGATTGACTGGTTGGATCTCCTGGGAGTCCAAGGGACTCTCAAGAGTCTTCTCCAACACCACAGTTCAAAAGCATCAATTCTTCAGCACTCAGCTTTCTCTATAGTCCAACTCTCACATCCATACATGACTACTGGAAAAAGCATAGCCTTGACTAGATGGACCTTTGTTGGCAAAGTAATGTCTCTGGTTTTTAATACGCTGTCTAGGTTGGTCATAACTTTTCTTCTAAGGAGTAAGCATCTTTTAATTTCATGGCTGCAGTCACCATCTGCAGTGATTTTGGAGACCAAAAAAAATAAAGTCTGCCACTGTTTCCACTGTTTTTCCATCTATTTGCCATGAAGTGATGGGACCGGATGCCATGATCTTAGTTTTCTGAATGTTGAGCTATAAGCCAACTTTTTCCCTCTCCTCTTTCACTTTCATCACGAGGCTCTTTAGTTCTTCTTCACTTTCTGCCATATGGGTGGTGTCATCTGAGTATGAGAGGTTACTGGTATTTCTCCCAGCTATCTTGATTCCAGCTTGTGCTTCATCCAGCCCGACATTTTACATGATGTACTCTGCATATAAGTTGAATAAGCAGGGTGATAATATACAGCCTTGATGTACTCCTTTCCCTATTTGGAACCAGTCTGTTGTTCCATGTCCAGTTTTAACTGTTGCTTCTTGCCCTGCATGCAGACTTCTCAGGAGGCAGGTCAGATGGTCTGGTATTCCCATTTCTTTAAGATTTTTCCACAGTTTGTTGTGATCCACACAAAGGCTTTGGTGTAGTCAACAAACCAGATGATTTTCTGGAACTCTCTTGCTTTTTTGAGGATCCAATGGATGTTGACAATTTGATCTCTGGTTCCTCTGCCTTTTCCAAATCCAGCTTGAGAATCTGGAAGTTCACGGTTCATGTACTGTTGAAGCTTTGCTTGTAGAATTTTGAGCATTACTTCTTGAGAGAAGATATGTGGCTCCCAAGGAGATACTTGGTTGGGGTAATTCAAGAAAAGCTGTGAAGTGGTAAAGAGAATTTAAGGGCCTTAAAGGATGAGAAGGATTGGTAGCAGACAAAGACTAACAAAAATGTTTCAGGAGAAGGGAGAAAGACTTTGTTCCAAAACTTTGTGGAGAGTTTAGCTGGAGTACTATACATAGGTTCAGAGCATGGGCGAAAGAAAATAAGGTTAAAATGTTGGGAGAGCCTATCGGGGAGGGCCTTGAACTAAGGTCTTTAACCTTAACAATCACCTTTGGAGATCCACCAACAGTTTCTGAGTTAAAGGTGTCAAATGGTTTACTGGTACAAGGAGACAATAGTAAAATGAATTAGGCTACTGTAATTATACGGATGTGAATTGATGAGGGCTGGGCTTGTATACCAGGCAGTGTAAATGAAATGGGGGTAGAATCAGACTTTGATACTGAAAACATAGGATTTGCTAACTAAAAGGAAAGCAAATGGATTCAGGGGTGGTGTCGAAAAGCTAATGTGCAGGAGAAAGAACTTAAATCTCAAAGCTGGTTTGTCAAGGACAAGGTTCTCAACCTAGGAATTACTGACATTTTGGATAGGAACTTATTCGTAGTGGTTGGTTGTCCTGTGCCTGGCAGGATGTTAGTAGAATCCCTTTCTTGTGAGGTGCCAGAAGCACTCCACCACAGTCATGACAACCAAAAATGCAGTTATGTGATCCCCACCCATGGCTTGGTACACAGTTCTCCAATGACAAGCTATTTCATCAATCAGTAGTTTCTTATGGGTAACTCAGGGAAAGCTGAGTTGTGCTGTCATGTCTGACTCATTGTGACCCTATGGACCGTAGTCCACCAGGCTCCTCTGTCCATGGGATTCTCCAGGCAAGAACACTGGAGTGGGTTGCCATTTCCTTCTCCAGGGGATCTTTCCAACCCAGGGATCGAACATGCATCTCCTGCACTGGCAGGTGAATTATTTACTGCTGAGCCACCTGGAAGCCCAACTCAGATCAGTAGAAAACCAACTTTAAATGAACTTCTACATTATACTTATATTTGCAATAGTATCTTTGGTTATCCATATTATGCCTATAGTTTAGTGTGCAAACTTGAATATTATGACTACAAAGCCTGTTTAGTAACCTTTCAAATCTATTTCTTCATTGTACTTTTATACTGTAGCCTACATTCTAGTAAGTTTTCCTTTGTACTTTCCTTTTTATAGTTTCAGTCCTGGTTTACAATATCATTTGTCAACTGATTTACACATAATCATTATTATATTTGTCAGCTCTGGTTAAGTATTTTTTATGTTAATATTTTGATTAGTCTTATTTTAAAAGTATTAATTATACACTATTTTTAAAAATTAAGGCATCATTCAAGAAATTCAAATAGTAACGATTATACACTGAGTGACATGGAAATTTTGATTTTGTAGCAGTACATTTGGTTCTAATATACGCATTATATCTAATATACACATTAGATACTGTTATCTAGATTTTTGTTGTTTATGCACTATTTAGAAAAAATAAAATCCATTGACTTCATCAGGGCAGGAGAAACAAGGGACCTGAAAACTCTGAAGGCTTTCTAGGCTGCCCTGGCTGTTGGAAGGGCCTAACCTGAGGTCAGCAGGGAAATCAGGGAGTTAATTTCCCTACTGTAGAGAAAGCACTGCCCACTACAAACATATACATCAGCCTCATCATATTTTTTTGCATTCTTTATAGGAAATATAGAAACTAAGTTTTTCATATCTAACTCAATACCCTTCAAGTCTAGTCCAAGTGATACCTCCACTTCTCAAAGCAAAATTAAGAGCCCTAACTCTATCCAGATACAACACAGATGTTAGTTCCACTATTTACTCATTTCATTCTCTCCTTAATCAGAGCTTTAGACATCAAGTTCCCTTACTATATTAAACTCCCAAGTGTTTACTCATTGTTGTAAAGCTAATGAAGCTTTGCCTGTAACAGACCTTCAGTAAACATTTATTCAATAAAAGTTGTTACTTTATTCTAAAAACAATGTTCAGCATCCCCATATTTGAAAATGTATCTTCATCTATCCCTTGGGATTTAATAAAAGATTAGGTGACTTAGGTGTATACATTCTATAAAACTGACTAGATTTACTAAAGCATTGTTTTTCCTTCATAAAGATGACACTGCTCTGCACAATTAAGAGCACTTTGTGAGCTGCACAGCAATAAGACAAAAGTTCTGTCGTAACAAAATTCAACATTTAATTTTTCAAAACTTAACTATATTAAAGAAAATAAATTATATTTAGACCACCTTCAATATTTGTACATCATCTTTATACAACTATACCAGTACTTTCAAGAGACATTTTATAGAGAACATTAATTTCACAATTAAAATGTGTTAAAAATGGGGGAACATGAAAGAACATTAAATAATCTGAAATATATCTCATAATGCTGAGAAGTATGCTCTTCTTTAACAAATTAACTGTATCTGTATTCAAAATAACATAGTCTTTAACTCATAGACCATTATTTCTTGTCCGTTTCAGTGATTTCCTTGATCCAAAACAAAATTTGTGTATTTATTTCTTTGAAAACATCATTTGTTGACCGTCCTTTCACTGCCATGGAATGATTTGCCTTCTCAATCCAGTGGATTTTATGAGGAGCTTGCATTTTCTGTGCCACTTTCTCCAACAAGTTCTAAAAGGAAAAAAGAAGATGATACTAGACTAATACCCTATTGGTGTTTCATAAAGATTTACTCTCTCCTACCCCACCTATACTTGGCATCCATTCACTAAATATTAAAACCTACTTTACAGATAACTTCTGAGGCAATGGATTGTGCAAGAAGTGACTACAGATTTCTTACACATAGCAACACCACAGAACAGATCAAGCATTCATTCTGGACAAGTCAAAAAAATTCTTCTAAAAAATATTTTTCCCAAGAAAATTATATATTCTGGAAAAGACACTAACATTTAGTAATACGTACATGTTACTTTTCCTCAAGAGTCAATTTTATAACAAATTTGAAGATCTGTTTAAATGTTGAAATGATAAAACAAATATACAGTCTAGTAATCTCAAATTCACAAGATTCAGATATTAATCCTTTGATTTGCTAAGTAAGAGTTAATCCATTTATCAACTAACTGTAAGGGGTTGAATATTGTCAGTATGCTTATAGTTTTAGGTTCCCCTCAGTCATAGGGTAACAAAGACACAAAAGGAGCATAGTAAAATCAGCATCTTTTTAAAGAGAATGAATGTTGCTGGTAGCATCTTGTTCCCAAGATGTTTCTTTCATTCTCTGTCATTCACACAAACAGCAAGTCATAATCACCTTTTCACACATTTCATCTGCTGAGCCTGACACAAACAGTACAGGATCTTTTATACGAAAGAGATCTTCATCTCTAAGTTTATGCTGCTGTTTTGGATGGTGCAGTGGATAGGAAATACAAATGAGACCTCGAACAAAATCATCAGCATCATCAGGCTCAATATGACACAGAACAGAAGCAGCTGCTCTTGAGCCCATTGAACGACCTAAAATCAATAAAAATCAAGTTCAGTTTGAAATACAGACATTCACATGAAGTAGTAGTGATGATAACGGCAGATTTAATTTACTATGCATCCATCATACTGCTTATCAATACTTAACCAACAGAAGGTGGCAATTAACAAGCCACAATATCCACAGACTTGTGAAGAGCTAAAAACTGATCCTAAATCAAATCTAAAAAAAAGAATAATTTTTTATTGAAAGAATACTTAAAGATGTAAAGACAAACCTTGTGAAGGAATCAGTTCAGAGGATGATTCAGGAATATAATCAAAGAAGACGTCTTTGGGTTATAATACGTATGTATAAGGCTTACATTCAATTTAAATATTAAAGTACCTTGATGTTATACCTGGAAGTGACTTACCAAAACAAAACAAAAAGTCCTTAACTCTATTCCTGTCATTAATTTTAACTCTTGATTACCTATTCCTGTATTAATATAAGTAGATTTTAAAACAAGTATTCACAAGTATTGCAACTTACCTCCAAGGAAAACACCTGCAAGTTTGTATTCTCCTGAGGTCTTTAAGTAATTCTAGAAAAATCAACCAAAAAACCATCAATTCTTCTCCTATGAAATATTCCACTGGAAAAACCAACACATTATTTCTCATCATTACTAAAGTGTATAAAAACTTTTACAAAGACAACCACAAAATTTTAAGGGATTCTACTTGGAAGAGGTAACCAGTTCTTTGCTCTTCTGGTCATGCCTTCACTATCAAGTCATATATTGGGTAATACACGCAAATATGTGAAAAAAACAAAAATACTGTCTAAAACTAAAACATTTTTAAAGAAAAAATTTTGGAGGGAAAAAAGAGCCAGTTAAAAGCTTCCAACTAAGGCAAAATCTGATAATACTACAACTAACATCTAATTTAAAGCTCTGAAAAACTTAGCATGCTTGAAGTAATTTCAATTAAAAGAAATTTCAGGTTTCATTCAGGGATTTGTTTCCAATATGGAAAGCATTGTACACTCACAGCATATGAGGCGAACTGTCTAGAACTGTATATGCTTAAGTTATATAATTCCAAGAAGAAAATTACATCATAAGTAGATGCCTTGGCAGTATCATGGAAACATCTATGATGTAAGCACTCATCCCTATAGAAACTGATGGCAAAAGAGAGCAATCTGACCACTACCCAGCCTTCACATACTGTTGAGTTTCTAAGAATATTCATTATTGTTTTAAAAATTAAACTAAATGACTAATACAATTTGTCAATTTACTGTGCATTTAAAAAATAGAATTGTTGTAAGTAAATATAAAGAAATTTTCTTACCAAAACTGATTTATATGCCTTAATTCTATGTACAATATTAAGGCCTTTACAGGTAAACCTCAGGCAAAAAAACCCATGAGAGGCAAGATGGGATGCCAGTGACGTCAAATGAGGGAGATTCATATCTCCTGATGCTCCATGTGTAAGAATGACTCCATATGTTAAGTTCTTGTTAGGTACCAAACAAACAGCATCTAGCAATTTATTTCCAAAAGGTACTTTTAATTTTACCTGGAATTCAAGAGAATACAGGGATCAAAAATTACTTCCTTGCCTATTCAGACAAATGAATAACTATACAGGTTTGTTCTGTGATACAAATGATTCAAGTCACAGCCTCAAAATAAAAAGCAATATTAATAATAATTTATATTTAAGTACTTATTGTGTGTAAGGTACTATCATAACTGCTCTTTATGTATTAACTCATTTAACCTTTCTAAGAATTCTGTGGTAAGTATTGTTACAGTTTCCGTTTTAGAGATGAGAAAACTGAGGCACAGTACATTACATCATGTGCCCAAGGTTATATATCCACTAGTCAAGATCCAAATTCAAGCAGTCTGCTCCAAAGCTCTCACTCCTAACCACTAATGCTATACTGTCTCTCACAGTATAAGCTGAAAATAAGAAAATTATTCTGAAGCCATATGATTACAAAAAAAAATAAAAAAAGGAATCTTGAAGATGCAGAATGTATGAAAATATGTATTACCTCTGTATGACTCATTTTCACTGTTGAATAACAAACTTAAAGTGCATTACATCTGAGAAGCAAAGGACATCTCCCTGAAAAGAAGATTCTATTGTGAAAGGTGGGTTGGCAGACATGGATATGATACAAGAACTATGAATGAACACATTTAGTAGCTAAAATAAAGACATTTATAACTACTTTAAGAACTGATATCTTTACATGTACATTATTTATTTTCATTCCTATGGCCATTCAGAATTGGTTACAGGGCCAGGTGTGGGGCTGGCATCTAAGATGCCATCTAAGATAAAGTCAATGTGATACCGGTAATGTGCATTCTGTAAGAAAACTTGTATCAAAGTAGGATGCTATATCTTGGTGCATAAAACATGTATTTTTCCTAAGCATCTTTATTCTCAACCAACTATCTTCAACCTAATTTCACAGCATCTTTCTATTAACCCATTTCCTTCGTCTTTACTGGTCCCAACTCTTCCCTCTACCCTGCCACAGAAGCATACATCCACATCCTTTGTCCTGAGACTGCAGATACCTCCCAGGAGACAGAATGTAAATCTCCACACTATTGCCTTTGGGCTTGACTATGTGACTTGCTTTAACCAAAAGATGTTTCAATGCATCACTTCTGAGCTGAAGCACGGCAAATTTCCAGAAGTGCTCTTAAGCTCTCACCTTCAGCCCCAAGAAAAGTACACTCCACGTATTTTTGCTTTTTCAGCCCGGGTTCCACAATGAAGATACATGGAGCAGATCTGAACTCAAAACTGAAGTCTGGAGTCCAGCCTAGGCCAATCAACATCTAAACCACTGAAGAACCATGAAATGTCTACCTGAAGAATCAAGGGCATGAAATGCTGTGAGCCACTAAGATTTCAGGATTGTTACGCAGTATTCTTTCCTGTAGTAAGAGATCTTTTATTGTTCAGGATATGCTTAACATCAGGATCTTCATCAATTTTTTTTCTATTAACATTTACTAGTTTATTCACTGAGTAACATGTTCAAAAGGTACAAAAATATACGTTGAAAAGTCTCTCCGTAATTCCACTTTTGTCTTACCATCCAGATCCCCTCTTCAAAGGCAATCAATATTCTGCTTATCTTCCAGATGTTTTATATACATATATACATAAACACATCTTTTTATAAAACTAGTGATATATTTTTTCTGAACCTCCTCCCCAACATATATCTTTGTGATTACTTTTTTTATACAATGAGCTTATCTCATTGTTTTTTTATGACTACAAAATATTCCAAGGGAGGGTTGTACAAAATTTATTTTACCAACCATCTATTAATGAAAATTGAGACTGTTTCCAATCCTTTGCTAAAGCAATACTGCAATGAGTAGCACTGTACTTAACATTACTTTACACATGTGTAGACATATCTATAAATTCTTGTCTCAAAGGGTGTATTCATTTGCATTTAAGAAATACATTTCATTTTTGAATAGGCAATATATGCACATGGTACATTATTTTAAAAGAATAAAAATGTGTGAATAGTTAAGTCTCTTCACATTTTTTCCCACAGCCACAAAGTTCCTTTCCCTTCTCAGAAGCCATCACTGTGACTAATTTATTGTACAGATCCTTCCCTTTACGTGTGTGTGTACAATTCTCATATAGAGCCTCAAAGGTATTAGACCGGCTGCAAAAAGTTCTGGGATTTAAACTGGAGGAGGATGAAGGGCTTCAGCCTTCACTGTCTGTTTTCATAAATGTAGCCTCATAATTGTGCCTGGGTTTCCCAGGTTCAAAGATCCCGTTTTATGTTCTCAAGAGAAGAGCCTCCAGTCTCCTGGTGTGAGAGCAGCAGTATCCTACCAGTGTGAAACGGGGAAGGAGAGCTTGCTATCGAATGACTTCTCAGACTTACTTCACCTAAGTGGTCTTTATTTGAGCCCTCCACATCCATCCGCAGCACCATTCCTTTCATTGCCAGCTCCCAAAGTGTCCCGTGCTGCCAATTTCTGCACATTTTGAAGATTTTCTTTATATATATATAATTGTTCCACAGTTTTCCCTCTGCTGGTTTAGAAATTCAGCTAATCTGCTACGACACTTGCTTTCTGGAGCCCAGGAGTTTACTGCTATTATTTCTTTCCCATTTTCTTTAGCTCTGTGGGTTTGTGTCTTTTTGAAATTCCCTTTACAGTACTTTTAGTGAGATTTCAGGAAGTAAAACTAGATACACGTCCTCAACCCACTCTCTTAACCTAGAATGCTCTACTATTCCTCAACACGTGGGGTGTTCGTGGTTTTTTTTGTTTTTTCCTGGCAAACGCCACTGTCATGCATGACAGTCTGTCCTTGCCAACAGTGCACACACGTGCTAGACTACAGGGGCAACAGTGAGCCGACACCAGGATCTAATCCCGACCTGCTCTAGCTTATAAATCTCGGGTTTAGCGGGTCAGAAGGGGCGGCGGGGTTGGAGCCTGGCTCCGCCTCGAGAGGCTGCGACGGTTCACCGTCTGGACCCGCGTGCCCACGCTTGTGGGCGCTTTCAAGAGTGATTTGTGTGACTACCGCCGTCAGGATGCGACAGAGATCACATCCGAAGCCGGATGATCGGATGCCACCACCCCTTAACTTGCAGTTGGAAAAAAACGTTCGTGCGTTATCCGCCTCGTCCGGGCGGAACGCTGGAAATTGCGAGGCAAACGCAATGGCAACCGTCAGACTTCAAGTCCTCCAGGGGGGTCGCGGGTCCGAGCCGCGTCGACAAAAACGGAACAAGGGCAGAAACTCGAGGCCAGGCTTCCCGGGGTTGGGAACCCAAAGGCGCCCAAGGACCGGCCGATTCCGCCCGTCGGGGCTGCACGGTGGCCGGCGCCCGGGAGACCCTCCCCGCTCGGAGGCCGCCGGTGCCCAGCTCGCCCCGTCCGCACCGTTCCTTCTCGGAGCCTCCTGACCGGCCGGCCGAAGCCCCAGCGGCCGCGGCACGCGGGACCTAACCGACGCCTCACGCCTCACCGAGCCGCCCAACAGCCCCCGAGGGGAGACGGCCGCGAGCCCGAAACGCCGCTGGCGGGACCGCGGAAAGCCCTCGGAAGCCATTCCCAAGTCGCAGCCCCGACCGCTGCCGTCGCCGCCGCCACAGCCGCCGCACTTACCAGGGACGGGGAAGTGGCCGGCAGCACCTAACCGTCCTCACTCCCTTCAGGGAGCAAACTACCACACTCGAAGGGACCGCCTCGCCGCGCCCGCCAGCGCGTCCCGCTACAGCGCAGGCGCGCGCACGCCCCGCCCCTCAGGCGCGCGAGCCGGCGCGCGGGGCAGGCTGGGAGCGGGAGTTTTCCCGCCCCTGCCGCCGGTGCTGTGGCGGCGTGTGCTGCCGGGCCGCCTCCCCTCGCTGCCTCACCCCCGACTTCCTCTCTCAGGATCCTTCGGCGTCCCAGCCATTCCCTTCTAGCAGTTGCACCGGCCATAAAATTAAGACACCGCATGCCGCGTGATCAGAAAAAGAAGATTCCGCCCATATTGTATCATATCTAATAGGACTTTGTTGCTTATAACTCGTTTCTTTTCATTGCTGAGTAGTACCCAGTTTTACGGATCAACCAGTTTTGTTTATCCATTCACTGGTGGATGGCTATTCGGATGCTTTCCACCATTTGACTTGTTATAAAAGTGCTGCAACATTCAGAGAGAGAAGGCAGTGTGATAACAGAGATTTGAAAGATGCTGAGCTGCTGGTTGGGAAGGTGAAGAGGCCACAAGACAAGAAACATTAAGAAACGCACCCCTAGGAGCCAGAAAAGGCATTCTGCCCTCAGAGCCTCAGGAAGAAACCAACCCTCCAAATACATCGCCATTATCCCAGAAACACTGATTTCTGACTCTAAAATCCAGAACCATGAGATTGAATTCCTATTGTTTTAAACCACTAAATTTGTGGTATTAATACTTTGTCACAGCAGCAATAGGAAACTCATAGAAAACTATGGACACCAAATCTTCAATTTCAGATAAATTTTACATGTCGTTATTATTATTCTTTTCTTGATTTTTTTCAACCATTTAAAAAATTTTAAATCATCCTTAACTTGCAGGCTGTACAAAAACAAGTGGTGGGCCAGATTTAGCCAAATATTAGCATGGTTATTCCATCCATGGATTAAAATAATACATAATTGGATGTATTAAGAGTTTTTATAATGGAGGCTCTATGTTTCAAAATGAGAACAGTGTTAATGTAGTTCATCATGGATTAATGGAACAGAATAAATCACCATAAAAGATGAATATGTAAATAGATGCCTGAAAAGCATTTAATAAAATTTTAATGTGCTTCCTTTTTAATAACTGGAAATTTCATATTTTAGTAGTGGTTGGTTGTTTATCATTAACCATAACAAATATTTTGCTTAACAGTGAGAAGTCAGTAGCATCTTTGATCTCCAATCTAAAGTAGCCACCACCACTAAGCCCTCTTTCTCTCTGTAATTGTTTTTTTTTTAATCAATCCATAATTGCCCGGCTTATTTGTTTACTTTTACTTGTTTATTTCCTTCTTCTTTCAGAAGAGATAGAGACTGTTCATTATTGTATTTGTAGAACCTAATACAATGTCTGGCACATATTAGGTGCTTAATAAATACTTGTTAAATAAAATCCATTTGTGATGGATTCAGGCAGAGGCCAGATTACAAAATACCTTGGAAGGTGTATTAATTAGTATTCAGTTTGGCTGTGAATGACTGATTATCTAAAATAATAGTGTAAACAAGTCAGAAGTTTACTGCTTTGTCATGTAAACTGTGTACCTAGGTAGGTGATGGCTTTTGACATGCTTCAGACTGAGTTCAGGACTCAGACACCCTTTTTTTTTTTTTAACTGCTCCACCAAACACAGCTAATGATGAGCACAACACAGGCCTTTAAAATAAAAGTGATTTTATTACAAAATTCTAAAAATGTGCTTCCAATGACCGTCCTGGGAATACTGCATAAGAAGAAACAGATCTTCATAATCCAGACAATCATAGAGCAGCTTTTATACTGTCCATGGAATTAGTATTTAGAAGACATTCTTCTTTTCAGTTAAGAAGAGTCTTCAGAGCACCACTATTTGAAGGAAAGGTATTTTGCATATCACAGTTCATCTTTGGTCTGCAATTAAGAAACATTTAAAAATATTTAGAGCCATCAAGAAGTTTTCCATGAGTAAGAAGGCTTACATTTAGTCTATTAATTACTTTCCCCCAAAGACAAAAGAGGCTTCCCTGGTGGCTCAGATCTGCCTGCCAATGCAGGAGACGTGGGTTTGATCCGGGGTGGGGAAGATGCCCTGGAGGAGGAAATGGAAAATCCCATGGACAGAGAAGCCTGGTGGTCTACAGTCCACAGGGTCACAAAGAGTCGGACACAATCTGGCGACTGAGCACAGAGGCACGCAAAGATGAAAGAAGGGATGAATAAAGCCAAGTCGTCGCTAGAAGACTTTAGGACTATTACTTGAAATCATCTAAGGGTAAAGTCTTATTGGTGGGAACCCGAACATCTAGGGGTCTGTATTATGGTAAAGGCTTGTGTTCTAAATGGTATCAGTGAATGGCCAGAGTAGACCACGGGTCGGGGGAGGGTGGGAAAATCAATAAAGCTATCATTCTAGTCGTAAGTTCTACCAATCAGGGGAATCATTTGGCACTCCTTGAAGTCACTTAAGAGATAAAAATAAATTTTAAAAAAGAGGAGTGGAGTAAGGCAACCGCCCAGTTTCATGTGGAGCCAACAGACTCATTCTGATGCCAAATCAAACTCCATGTGGGAGCACCTTCCAGTTTTGGGCATTTCTGTTTTGAAACTGGCTTTCAGTGACTTTGTGGCCTTGCAGCTCTGAGAGGGGTTACCACTGATGCTGTACCACTTCTGAAGGTTAGTTAGAGGCAAATCCAAAACAAAACCAAATGAAGCAAAATAAAACTAATTTCAGCAGGTGCTGTTTTCATGCTGTAAATACTGCAACCAGATGTACTCCAAGCTACCAAAGGTTAACCGCTGTGCAGAATTCCTAAATATTTAACAATCAGTGAGCTTGTAGTGTGACTTGCCTGGTGGCTCAGCGGTAAAGAAGCCACCTGCAATGCAGGAGACACAGGAGACGCAGGTTTGATCCCTGGGTTGGGAAGATGCCCTGGAGAAGGGCATGGCAACCCACTCCAGTATTCTTGCCTGGGGAATCCCATGGACTGGACCTGAGCCATAGGGCACAAAGAGTTGGACACGACTAAAGCAACTGATATGCATGCATGAGCCTGTATGAGCTGGTTCCATCACACCGCCAGAGCTGGTGGTCACCTTATTCTTTTTTTAAACCCCTTGGGAGGCAGAAATGGTTAACTGCAAAATCTGCTTCTCAACTTTGGTCCTAATGCACAATTTTGAGTCTGTCCATTCACAGACATGGTGATGTTGTTTAAAAGAATGTCAAGCCATTATATAGTAATTTTTATACAACATACATTCCTTTAGATGAAAAACAGCTATAACTGAAACAACCCTCCCAGCCACAGTGTCTTTACACACAAACATGCACAGGATTTGAAGAAGGTACACTGGGTTTTGGTTCTTGTTTTGCTAAAATCCAGATAGATGGTTCTGAGCTAAACTCCTCCCTGGGCTTGGTTTTGTTAACTATAAAATGAAGGCATTTACTGGGTGACAGCTAAGGTCCTCTTTAGTCTGCCAAGTCCATACGTGAGCCTGCCTTTTATAAATGAAATCAGTGAAAGTGAGAAAGTGAAGTCGCTCAGTCGTGTCCGACTCTTTGTGACCCCATGGACTGTAACCTACCAGGCTCCGTCCATGGAATCTTCCAGGCAAGAGTACTGGAGTGGGTTGCCATTTCCTTCTCCAGGGATCTTCCCAACCCAGGGATCGAACCCGGGGCTCCCGCACTGCAGGCAGACGCTTTACCATCTGAGCCACCAGGGAAGCCCAGTAATGTAGTGGTATTAACAGAGATCGCTTTTAAATGAATAATCTGTTAACATTTATAATCATGGTTATATATTTTTCCATCTCTAAACTGGGGTGATAAACTTTGCAGAAACTATCTCACAGGCAGATGAGGCTGTTAGATGATACATGAAAAATACTTTGCAAACGGCAAATATCTATTCAAATGCCACATGATCTGAATTCTCACAATCAAGAAGGCCTCGCTCTGCTTTGCTGGGAGCTCCTATGTCTGTTTGCTTCACTGCATCTTAGCACCTGGTTGGTTTTTGGGTTTTTTTTTTTTTGCCTTTTGTTGTTAACTATTTTTTCTGCCTCTGCTAGAATGAGTTGCTTGGAGGCTCCAGGAGGAATTCGGGTAGTTGCTGCCTGACTGAATGAGTTAAGGGGAGAATGAGGACTCGGATCCCGGTTCTTCCTGAGACACTGGCTCGGCGGTCAGTTCCAGTTACCTTCTTCCTGTGGCACGTGCAAGGAAAGAGGTCATCGTCGGTCTCTGGTTCTACCTTCACCATGCCCTCTCGGATCTGGGGCTCACTCACTTGTAAACTGGCATATTCCTGTATAGGCAACAATATGAAAGCATATTTTACTTAGCACTTTAGATGCTGAAGCAGACGCACCAATACTCTGGCTACCTGATGCGAAGAGCTGACTCATTGCAAAAGACCCTGATGCTGGGAAAGATTGAGGGCAGGAGGAAAACAGGGTGACAAGAGGATGAGGTGGTTGGATGGCACCACTGACTCAATGGACAT